GAGTTGTTTGTGAGCACTTGTATGGAATCTACCATCCACGCAACCGCGCTACCATAAAGCCGATTACGAATCGTCACATCTGGCTCAGGATGCACTCTGAAATTCAGCAGTGGTCGAAACACCTTGGTACATGCCAGAATATCAATATACGTCACCACACGATTATGATTCCTGGAACCTTTTCTCTGCCCGACGCTCGATTCAACCAGGTCCATAGCGACATCGTTGGACCTCTACCGTCATCCAATGGCTTTATTTCTGTGTTGGCATGTGTCCATCGCCTCATACGTTGGCTACACGCCGTGCCACTGCGCGAAGTCTCAGCCGAGATGCCTGCACGAACTTTCGTCGATACTTGGATATCTGTGTTTGGCACCCCGCCACTATCACCACGGATAAAAGACCCCAATTTAATTCTGCACTGTTTCGCGACCTTACCCGCATACTTGGCTGTTCTCAACTACGCACGACAGCATATTATCTGGCTGCTAACGGTTTAGTCGAGCTTTTTCACTGCCAACGCAAAGCCGCGCTCACTGCGACGCAATCGAATATCCAGTGGTCAGAGCGTTTAGTGATCATTCTCCTCTGTATCCGCAACACTGTGGAGGAATATGTCGTCTGTTTCCCACAGAATTAGTCTTCGGTATGACGATGAGACTTTTTGGAGAAGTACTACTAGATTTCAGGGTCACCGCGAAGGCGATTCTACGTCATGAGTTGCACAACTGGAACAATACTTTAGCGCCATTCGTTTAACGCCACCGCGATTCACTTCTTGAAACCACTACATTCACCACGGCTTGCACACGCGTCCCTTCGTTTTCATACGCATCGACGCGGTTCGCAAGCATTGGACACGGCCTTAGGAAGGCCATTACAAAGTCATCGCTTGCAAAGATATGTATTTCGTGTTCGACAGAAATGGTTCCAAAGACGTGGACCATATGGAACGCTTAAAACCAGCCTACACCGCATTCCAGTCACCGCAACAGATTCCCGACACTGAAGCGGAATAACTCCCACCACAGAGCACTCTACGCACCCAACGGATGGGCGGCTCCAGTGCACCCTCTACTCCCCAACCATCACTTGTCACAAACTCAGATACACAAAAGTCTACACGTTTTGGACGTGCAGTTATTCTTGCTTCTAAACTAGCTACTCACGTCAGATGGCACATATCGAGCGTTCATTTACTTGACTCAAGCTCTAGATAGTGGGAGTTTTGTAGCTGCGACGAGTTTCCTCGACGTTACTTGAAAACGGATATCCAGAGAAGTTCGCAACACGGCACTCAAAGGCGAACAGATGCCCAACATCCCTAAGAAAAAAGTGTTCATAACGCTACCCTTCAAAGGCGACCAAAATGACAGGTAATCCGATACCGTCACCGTCAAGCTATGAAAAAGGGTTATTACACCGCTGAGCTTGTGCATGGCCCCAAGGTAACAAGCTGTTGTTTAACTCCAAGCTGGACAGGCCAGTCTATTGAGTTACCACCTCAAGCACTTACCTATTTCCCTGTACTTGCAGTAGCGAGTATGTTGACCGAACTGAGCGAACACTGTCTACAAGAATTTCAGAGCATATTGCTCCATACTTGGTCGCGAACGTTCAAACGATGCCTGCCATTTCGATCTCTTGACACATACTTGATTGCTCTATGTGTGAAAACCCTCGTGAATCATTTAGCATAATAAACCAACGGAGCGTCGCCTGCCTGTTCCAGTTCACCGAGGTGTCGGCAATTAGGCGGCGGATAGTCAGTTTGTGTACACAGACCGAGTTTGTTGCCAGTTTCGCCCTGCGTTGGTAAGGTTGATGGCTATATTCCTCTAGGCGGAGTGCCGGCCAGCATCAGATGAACTTTGACCATAGCCAACATTTGTAGAGTGATTTTTGGCAGGGTCTTATGCGTTGATCCTACAGCAATTCACCGTCGCCTATTTTGACCATTATCCATGGTATACGCCCAGGATCTTGAACAATTTTGCTTAGGTTGATTAGAAGAGCATGTGACATGTCTTTCAATATCGGTGGTTTACAATGTGCTACATTACGACTGGTTAACAACACGTGGTCTATCACTGCAGCGAGAACCCACTGTAATCGTAGTTTAAATTAACTACTGCTATCACCGAGTGAAAGTTCGCAGAGGCAGAGGCAATTCCAACAGAAATTCACCGTGTACCTCACTCGGAATGGCCCTACATTGCTTTTTATGAAAATTATTAGGGAATGTCTACGAGAAATATATCAGTGGTGTTGAATGGGCTACAGATCTAGTGGTTTCAAAGCACGTGTATAGTTATTTTGTTCGTGCTGCACCATTTGTCGCCAGTGGTGCAGCCTCACGCAGGCATGTGCTTCCGCAACAATCGGCTCCAAGAACTGCATCCTCCATTCAGTCTTGCTCAGTAGGCTATCCGGTTCTTTTTGGAGCATTATGAAATATCGCTGCCTCATGGTTTGTTTAATGTAGGCCTTAATGATACTGCAAATGCTTTCAAGCGACTTCAGTTGGGGAGAGTACGGTGTTAGTCGTAGAAGTCTTCCTAAACTGTAAGCCTTCTCTTGGAAGGTACGATCCAGATCGGTGTGACAGGGTGCGTTATCACAAATAAGGAGACAGCTTTCGGCGAAATGAATGTCATTGGTGTCAAACAGTATCCGTAACCACCACGCACCTTTTTATTATAACTGCCTCTTAGGACAGAATATCCAAGCAATCGATCCTCATTCATCGCGCTGATTAGGTGCAGCTTTTGTCCCCGAGTGTTCCGCACTGTACAGTGTGCACGCGTGCCACGTGTTGAACTTCTTCTTGTGCGATCGCAGAACAGCATAAAGTTCGTCTCATCTATCCATACCGTTCGCCATCATTCTGCCTCCAAGTTCAGCAACTTCAACAGGTACACTTATCCTTAGACATTTGCCATCCATCGTATTCGTGGGTTCCGGTATTGCATGTTATTTTTTCATTGTCTTGCGGCGACCGTCTAAGTAGCGGGCAATTGTGCTGCCGCTCACGTTCACTTTGAACTCCAACTTCAGTCGTAATCGAAGAGTTTCCGAGGTACCCGTAGATGCTGATTTCACCAATTCCACCAAGCAATCCACGTGACTGTCTGACAAACACTTTTGATGCGACACACTACGATCGTCTGTCTGCCCAATCAATTTTAAGGTTTTAATCCAGTGTCTACATGTCCGCAAGATTCCCTGTAACGGAGATGCAATGCCCTTCAAGTCGTTTCGCTCTTCATATGTCTTCAGGATAAGAGCCTTTACATCGGACGAATGACGGGTGTACGTACCTCTTCTTCCCGTCGCGCACAATGTGGTATAAAAGTTAAAAAACCATATAAATCAAGGTAAAGACAAACATGGTGGGTGAACTATAAGGAAGATGTTATTTTCGCCTTGCCCGCTGCGTGCGGTTCCCGTGTGACCAAACTGGGGGCAGGCAGAATTGACGATTCGGCTGACCAGAGATGAACTATCGGAACTGTATGAACACTTCCGTCTACTAAGCAGACGAGAGAAATCACCTTGAGGTTTCGGGACTAAACTTAATCCCCCGTGTGCCAAGCACGTGTGATGTCCGCAGTTTGGCTATCACGTTGTCGCACTCAGGCCATTGTGTATAATGACCCCGAAGTTTTTGCACCGCCCAACCATTCCGCACGTACACACACGTAGGTAAGGTCTCTCATGTGAGGTCCGCAGCCGACCACAATGTGCGGGCTGGGTTAAATTTAGATGGATATTTGATTAAATTTTCCGCGCTAAGGACAAACGCTGATGAGTAAAACATTAAGCAGATTGCGTTAAGTCTGGAATTAATCGAGAAGTTGTATAAATAGTCATTTATTAGTTTTTATGGCTTAAAGATCTAAAGCGCTGAAAACTGGAATACAGTGGATGCGCAATCTTGGGATGTTTTAAACTTGGTTTCCACTGGCCTAGGTTTTATATAAATAAATACATCACCTTTTTATTTTCGATTAGTAAAGCTTTAGCAATACAGACAACCATTAGTTGGCATCCAACTGGACGACGTATCCTGCTGGCGCATATTTTTGTAAACTATACATGGAAGCATGCTTTACTTGAACCAGCAGGTTCAAAACAAAAGTGTCTATAAAAAGGGTTATGCGACGCCGCTGCTTACAGCACATGTGTTTCAAATGGGATGTAGCTTCGACTGGAACAGAACGGAGGTTCTGTCTCAAGTGGAGACGCAGAAACGGAGGAAATTCCTAAAAGCATCTTACCTCACTACTAATGTCATCCACATGTGTATCGCCATCAATCCCGTGTACCAACAACGCCGAAAGCCAGAGCTTAAAACTACATAAGCGGCAAACAACTCAAGCGACCGCTTCAGCCTTGGGAAAAAATAGACAAAGATCACGATGGGAAACCCAGATGTCATTCTCAAAAGTCATCTGCTGGTCGATCACAAACAAACGATTTGGTTAATGAAGATGCCACCTCGCATGGTGGCGAAACGTTTGCAACGGTTGCAAACTCGGCGAACCAATCAAAAGTAGAACAACCGACCCAGGTTACCAGTGCTTTAAATTATTTCAAACTATATCTTGATCGGTTCCATTACGCATATTATTATTTTTGATGAAAAAACACCTGCAGAAATCGCAGTGTTGTAAGCTCCTTTTGTTTGTTTCCTAAAGAAAGTTAAAATGTTGAACCTGACTAAGCAACGCGTAAGAAAATATATGATTAAAATGTGTATCTACCGGCAGCAACATGTATCCCAAAAGATGTTCACAGAGGTAGTGTTTGTATTAGATTAAATTCCTTCATTCCTTGCTTCTTAAAGTAACAAACTATGCGTTAAGGCAAAGGACAAGCTAAGTTAAGCGTTATGGTCAAGGTAGAGACTAAGCGAGATGTGTGCATTGCTTTTAACAAGCTCGCAGGCAGTACACAGATGGCAAGTACTTAATGTCTTTGCAGTAATCAGAACTTACCAATGGCGTACTGTCCAACACTTTCAATAGGTCTTTTGGGAAGCCACATAAATTCAAGTATACGTTCAATTTCCTCCGTTTGTTTTGCACGTTGATAATAATTCGGATCATTGACTAGTTTAAAAAACGGTTGGCTATGCTTTGATATACAACCGTATTTTCTAAGCGCATGTTGTGTTTTTTCAGTTGTGAGTTTATTCCCTGTGCGTGATAAAAAAGTGTAAAAAATGAGTATACCACACAACTTCGCACATTAAGCGGCATTCGGTCATTTGCAAAGTTTCAAAGCAACGCAGTGCTTATCGTACCTCTAAAAATATTTTTTTAATTAACGGTAAACTCAGCAGCTTTAAGCCCAAAATAAAGCAAAGCACTGGCTGTAATTTTAGGTTCCTACACCCAATGCATTTCTGAAGGAGTTTTGTTAGTTATAAAACTTCATGTGGCACAGTAAGCAAATACTATCACCGAATCTGATAAAAGATAACTTATATAGGTAGACACAGAAGTTTGCAATGCTAATGCTTAAACTTCAGCTCAAACTACGAAAATGGAAGTTGCATGCGTAAAACCTAAGTAAGGAATCGTATCGGTTATTAATCAGCTACATAAAATGAACTGGGAATATAAATGCAACGTACTCCTTTAATCAATAAAGCTATAACCTAACAGACAAAACTAAAATTAAAACATGTGTCGGTGTGGAATACGTTTGAGACAAATCAGTTTGCTACGAGTAAGATATGGACAAACAGCGGTACTGTGTGCCTCAGATGCAATTAGCTTGATAATGTAGCGGCAAAGTCGCAAGTGAAATAACCTAATGCGCACGATTGATCCATGAATGCCAGCAGATGACCTACGACATCTTGGCTAAAAAAAGTAGTTTACCGCCGTCTAAAAGGCTGTATTTACAAGACCGTCCTACCCCATGCTAATGAAACTTGGCCCTTTCGATCTGAGGATTTTAGGCACCTTCAAGTCTCTCATTACCACGGTCCGCGGAGCATTGCTAAAATCGGGCGACGCCAGAGGGCCTGTAACAATGATGTGCCTAGGCGAGTACTACGCAGTGGTAACTAAGTTCGTTTCTTAAAACAATAGATAACGCTAAATAGGTTGTATTGGCTTGGGCAGGTACTAAGTATGAGTGGTTATCATTTGTCTAGAAAAGCATTGTTCAGTCTTTCAGATCTATGGTGCGCAAGGCTCCAAGTGAACAAAAGTTGAGTTGGAAGTGGAACTGAAGTCGCTGACGACTAAACACGGTACCGTCGGCACGCCCTGCCTTCCAGACTGAAGTCTACGTGACCCGACTCGTGCTTACCTTCCAACGTTACAGAACACGGCTCGCAGTCGGCACCGGTGGCGTGTCTGCTGTCGTCTCAGAGTCGGCCTCCCTATTTCAAGCGTGTTTGATGCTGGATTATCTGCGGGGCAACGGCTGATGATGACGCGTGTCAGCATAGCGTTATTATGACGTAAAGCTGGCGATAGTAGGCAATATTTCCGCTTATTTGTCCAGTATATCAACGAGTCCTTGAAAACACATAAATAGAACGGAGGGCCGTACACAAGTGCGGCACCTCAACACATACTTCTTATCATAGCCTTAAAACCATACTGCTGATCAGTTGTACACTACGTTCTTGTTTTACTTCTCAGTTTTCATTTTAAATACACAGGCACTTGCCTGGTAAGTAGTAATCAAGTGAACGCGTGCTCGTGTCCTGTTTTGTCCCACTACATTCCCAATTAGTCTGTTGAATATATTCCAATGCGCTCAATATATTGGTCATATGATTTACGGTTCACGCAGGACAGAGTGCAGTTGGTTGTCGCTATTAACAGCATATCATATGACATAGGAAGATATTTCTCGTGATTGACAGCCGCGAGTTCCACAATCCTGTTTACTTTTTACGTGCAACCGATTCTCGGAGTATCTGCCATCTATCCTCCTACCAAGTTCAAATGTGGCCTGCTTGAGATCTAGCGGCGTGGTTAGAAATCCATCTTAGAATTACAGAACTTGCCTAATGTACTTTGACTTTAACAGATGTACGTCTTCCCTTACGCACTTGCGGCACAATAGCGCAGGTGTACTCCAACCTCTAGCTAACGTGTATAATGATGATGATGATGATGGGAATGGAGCTGTAAGCTGTCTTTCAAGTCAACGATAACAGTTTAACTCGGAGCAACAACTATATAGTTTTTAAACGAAGTAGGCTCGGAATTCGTTCTACTCATACTCTACCAATCTGCAAAGTAAATTATTCGAACGACTAACTGGAACTTGTGGTTAACGCTCGGGTTAAGGAATATTCCAAGCGACTTGTGTGTTTTTATTTACAGTGATAGTTGGAACATTGCTGCCTCCACTGTACCTGTTACGGATTCTTGTGCGGTACGGTTTCGTAATGGTTCGCGATCTCCACGTAATGGTAAGGAAGTGAAGGAATTGACAAAGTACTCCGCTCAAATCTCGATCATACACTAATTTGATGAGCCAATGATTTGCCTTCTAATCTCGGTTATTAATTAAATAACCTGTTCGAAACTGAAAATCACTAGTCTCATAGAACTTAGACAAAAAACTAACGAAGGAGAAAAGAATCAATGAATTCCTCACCTGAAATTACATATCCAAAGGAGCCTGCAGGACGCACAGATCTAATATGCAATGTCCACATTATTCCCTTGGTTTGAGTACCTGGTTTTGTAATAGCTTTCAACCAGTTTTTCCAGCCCCTTCGAGCTAAAAATGTAGTCACTCGAATCACCCCAACGAGCTGAAATTAGTTTGGTAGGTACGTTTAGATGCGACAAATTCTTTCTGCATATTTCATCAATGATGGCACTTTTGTCAAGATCTCCAAGTTTACGGATCTAGAAGCATGAGAATGTGTGCAATTACAGCTTACTCGACCATACTTCCTCTCGTCTGCTTGCGCAACGCATTCATCGTAGTCAACATGTCGAAAAATAAATTCTGCTAATTTATAGCGTTTTTGAAAGTCGGTGTTAACGGGTTTGATTGTTTCTGATGGCAACCAGCCAGACATCGCGATAACTTGCTAAGGCGAGCAATATTTTGCCATTTTTCAAGGCCACATCTGAAATGATCTGGTTAGGTCAGTTCAAGTTACAAGGACGATACTAGCGTTCAGTTAAGCAGCACTTTGCTTATTCGACGGAAAAGCGAATTAGGTACCGGAACCTTAACTCTTGATTCATTGGTGCTGCTTCTGCAAAATTAGTAAAGTAAAAACATGAGCAGTCTGCTCACGTTAATGGAACAACAGCAGTCTGCACTGCGCATGTTCTCACGGATACCAAATCCGAAGGGTTAAAACCTTTTTTGGAAAAGGCATTCATGTTTATTTGAGGGATAGAAAATACACACACATAGGATGAATGTCCGGCAACATTAACAACGGGGACTGACCAATATATACGCTAGCAGCCTGGAAATTTTCCTGTCAACCTGGGCACGAAGTGTAAAATATTATACAAATATAACTTCATTTTGTACCTAGACAACGTAATGAGCTTGTTTACTCAAATGTTGACTGTGTGTGTATGGGTCAACTGGCCAAATGGTACTTTGCGCGCTTCTTGCTACACCGCCACTAAGATTGCCAGCGACGTCTGGGCTGGCGTCAAGTTTTTCCATTTAGCTAGCATCTCTGGCGGTGCCTTCATGCAACTGGATTGTACGTTTCAACAATAAGCGTCTGTCTCGCTTTATACCGTTGTTTGCAACTTTCCCCAAGACCGAACGAGTGATTCCGCTATAACGAGCGAAACCTAAGGAAAATTTGGCAGACTTTTTACTAATTTTTCTTTCTAGGTTCGTTAAGTTCTGTGTCCCGTCCATCCAGTTCCCCTCCCGTAAGTATTTCGGGTTTTTCATCGCTTACTTTGTATCATTTTGCCATGGACACGTGACACCGATTTCCCGACGACCGGGCTGCAAATCTACCCTGGCCAATCCGCCATTGCGCAAATGTGACCCAACTCATTTGGTTGCTCAGATATAAGCACTCTCTGAGTTGGCCAGCTTGCGAGCTGCAAGTATCAAATATTTCTACGTCGTGTCCGGGCTCCCTCCGCCCGTCATCCACTACCTCGAATACATCGACGATATCCTCTTGCTGCCAAAGGAAAGGAGACCCACAAGAAAGTTATAGCAGTTGTCGTAAAACGGTTTGGTTTTTCAGCTCGCCGGCGTCTCACAAAGCTCCTGAGCGTAACGGAGTTGGTGAGCACAAGCCCTCGCAGTTATTGCGAAAGATGCTAACCTCAGCCGATTAAACTATACCAGATGACCCATTTCGCAAGAAAATGTGCCTGCGTAGATTGCCGTGTGAAATGTGCTCCGTACTCTAGCAACCGTCAATGAAACGCTAACCTTTATGGCCAGTATTGCCAACCAAATTTGGGTGTCCTACGGACAGAGTTCTCAAATTCACTCTACACCGAATGACAACGTTGCGGGATTGAAAGCGCAGATCGGCGCATTTACCATAAAGTTTATCGTTTGCACAACTTCCGGGGCCAGCGGCCGATGCTAGCCAGAAAGTCGCAGACGTCCCCCACTATCGAAAGCGTCGAAAGCACCACGTCGAAACTTTTCCTACTGCGAGTATCATCAGCGATTTGGCCAACAGGTCAGGTAGTGCTATCCACCGTGCACCTTCCAAGGAGCAGGGTAAAGCGTCTGGCAACAGGCCGACCGACACATAGAAGCCACAGATGAGGCTAAGCAGTACCGACACCTAGTCCTCGTCACAAACGACAAACAGTAGTTCGCTATCTCGTCAGTACTGTCTCAGAATTCAACGTCCTTTGTCGTGACCAGAATGACATAATCGGCTTGGTAACTGGTGCCCCATGCGTGGCTACCGGAACCAGGATTCCAGTGTTGATCAACGCCTGCGTACGACTAACCTCGACCTGCAACACTGCTTTGGATGGATATTTTTCGTTGCTGACATCCAACCCCTTGCAGTGGGGTGAATTTTCGTCAGCATTTCGACCTTATCTTTCATGACAAACCAAAACGGTTCGTCGACCAGACAGCGAAACTTTCCGGTCTAGGATTAACCCGCAAAGTAGCATGGCTTAGTCTGGTGAAAGCTACCGCCAATCCCTTGGTCGGCGAGTGGCTACTTGTGAGATTCCCCTAAGTCTTCCTACTTATCCCGCCACTGGGGATCGCAGAAGCAGCAACGAAAAATTCGGTACATGCTTGAACATGGGCTCGCCCGACTGTCTAATAGCTCTTTGTCTTCGCCGCTCCACATGTTACTGAAAACGTCAGGAGGCTGGAGTCCATGTAGAGCTTTTCTCGCTCGCAACGCCGCAACAGTCATTGACCGATGTCCGCTTCCATATACACAAATACTACACCCTGGCTTCATGTCGCCCGCGAGTAAGCCAAGCTCGAACCGGTGTGAGCTTATTACCAGCTCCAGCTCACGGCATACAACGTAACGAGAAACGGCGTCATCATAACAGTTGGACGGCTCGATTTACTGTGAACGCCATTCTGCCTGCGCAAAACTGCGCGGACATCTCTATGCTTCACAGATTCCCTCGTACGTGGACTCGACTTAGTACACAGAGCAACGACGATAGCTTGCTGACCAGTTAATCATAAAAGGAACACAAAATGCGCCTACGGTTCCTGTTCGAACGGCTGAAGGCGCACACGGCCGGCAACCCTAACAAGTGCAATTTCATGCAGCCGCTTACTGGGTTCCTCGGACACCAGCTAGATTCAGAGGTGATGCGTCCTTGGTAAATGAGAATTCAAGCAATTCACGATTTGCCTCGCTCAAATATTCTCACCGCCATTCGATGCCTCAACAGCATGGTCAACAACTAATACCGCTTCCTACCACGCTGCGTCGCCCTTATGCAACTACTCACGGATATTATGCCTAGAAGCAACTACGGTAAAGGTGGTCTTACCCCTGCAGCACAAAAAGCATTCGTAGCCAGCAAAAGAGCATATGCTTCCGTCGTTATACATAATCAAATCGACACGAACGCTCTGACCAGTGCAACCGTCGACGCCTCCAAAAACGCAAACAGCGCTACCCTACAGTAGCTTCCGCATGGTAACTGGCAACCATTAACGTTCCTCCTGCGACGTCTTCAGACAGCTGAAACGAACTGCAGCACACTTGCTTGCGAGTTACTCGCCGTTTACGCCACCATTCGCCGTTATTGTCACGTTTCAGGAAGTCAGCATTTTACGATACTTACCGATCGTAGACGACTGTTCTATGCCTTCTAAAACCCTAGGCTTCAACACACTGGACTTGAAATTATTCGTTTATATGGCGTCTCTCAGTTTCCGACGGCCACCCAGCAGTGACTGGCAATGACAACTTCGTGGCGGACACGCTTTCAAGTGTAAGCCCGCTGGCTCCGACGGATTCATCTGGCAGCTATGGCTACGGCCCACCAAGCCGACAAGGAATTAATGACATAATGCCAAGCTCCAAGCTAAAGTTGACATAGAGATGGCTGCCCTTGTCCACAGGCCCAACAACCTCGACGTCGCTACAAGACATCCACGTCCACTTGTACAAACCGCTATTTGTCGGTAAGGCTTCTATACGTTACATGGCGTCAAGCATCCTGGTATTCGTGCCTCAGTCAGGATGGTTGCTGACAGCTACGTCGGGCACAACATGCAGCGCGACGTCAGCCTTTGGGCAATCAAATGCCTGACTTGTCAGCGAGCGAAACTTCATCGGCACGCTGCTGCTCGGATAGGACGCTTTCAGCCAGTGTCCTCTCGATTCACGCTCGCCCACCTCGACATCCTTGGACCACTTCCGCCATTCAAAGGCATGGTCTACACACTGGCTATGGTGGATCGTGCCACTCGTTGCCCCAAAGCTTTCCCAATTCCCGACGTGTCTGTTGAGGCCATAACGCGCGCATTCGTCGAAAGCTGGGTTGCTTTACCGGGCTGTCCAACCACTGTGCCAACCGACCGTGGTCCACCATTAGAATCATCAACTTTCCACAGTCTTCTTATGGCCCTCGGATGTAAACGCATTCAGTCAACGCTTACCCACCTCAGGCAAATTGATGATGAAACTTTTCCACCGACAGCTTAATGCATCGCTAACTGCTACCAACGCAGTTATTTAGACCAAAGTCTTGCCAATGATACTCCTGTGTATTCAAGTGGCACCGAAACTAGACATCGTAACGTCCAGTACCGAACTACTTTATGAAAAACACTCCGATTACTGGCGACTTCTCCGAAGGCGTAAGCACTCCTTGATACGACGCGCAATACGCTCGGCATCTAACAACGAGCATGCGCCGCAACCAATCAACGGGAGTGCGGGAACAGCGTGGCAAGCCTTAAGTCCCTACATGTTTGCACCATTGCCCGTTTATTTTCATACATACTGATGACCTGCGCAGATTACTCAAACGACTTAACGAAGGTCTATGCAAGGTCTTCCAAAGTGAGGATCGCTTTTTCGTCATCAAACGTAACGGCAAGCGCAACACTGTTTCCATCTACCGCCGCAATGTTGCTCACGTCGAACCAGTGTCCAACGGGGACTCTAGTCATCCGGGCTAAGAATAATCGTCCCAACCGATGGTGGATTTCTGCGGACATCAGCACTTCAACCTTAACCCCACCAACTAAGCCCAGCGTTAAGCCCACAGTGTTTACCAGGTCTGGCTGTCGGGGTCACTGGCCGACACGTTACATAGCAGGTTAATTTATTGTTTCTGCACCTAACGGTGTTTACAGGTTTCCCTAAGTTTCAGTAATCTCAGACAACTACACAAAGTACCAAATATTCTGAAAACTTCAAAAGGGCAAATTAATGAAATTTATTTATTATGGACAAAGCCAGGCACGCCTTCATTACATGATCAGGATTGTGCGTTGTTATACATAATAGAATAATGAGCGGGACCAAAAATAAAAGTAATAATGTTACTGAAACCAGAAGAAAAAGAAAAACGTTCCGAAAACCTACAAAATGTGTCGGTTCATTGATTTGGTGCTACCTATTTTGTAAGCGTCTTTCTCGTTCGTGGCTGTCGCCGCTTTTGTGCGCCTGACC